TTTTGGATAAATGATGCCCCAAAACCGCATCCAATTTTTTGGAAGCTTTAAGAGTTTCACATTTCTGAACGGTTTTTAATTTTCAGGTTATAATGTGACTACAACCAGTTCTTTATTTTATGCCAATTATTCTATGAGATTTTTACTTTTGATGAAGAATGCACTCTTATTTAGGTTATAGTTATGACGAGTGACCCGAGGTTTTTTGTATTCCAGGTAAGATTTTTTCCCTGCTGAATGTAAAACTTGGGGAACTTCTAACAGGTCGTTTCCACATTACTTTACTTGAAACACATCAGGCTAGGCCGGCTGGGCTAAAGAATGAGCAAGTAACGTGGTTGTGGTGGTAGGTAATTCCCCAGAATTATTGGCCACAGCATTCATCAATGAACATTGTGTGCTGACCCACACTGTTTTAGTCGATTTGTTTGGCTAAAGGCTGCCGTGTCACGTCCGTTAGTTCTTGCACGATCACTAGCTAGTGAAGCAATCATTTCTCACTCCAATTTGGTCCTGAAATATACTTCGTAATTTGGTTGATAAATTCCGAAGTCTTGCTTTGCCTTTGGTCTACGTGGAACATTACTATAAAAGTTGTGGGGTATTAGATCTTAGGTTAGTATACTTCGTACTATCTGTAAACGTCAACACCCTCAGCCTCTAAATTGCCAAAGCTCAGGTCTGGTAGAGCATCATTTTTAGTTGAAACCAACTGGAAGCGAGCTCGAATTCTTTCAGGCAGCCCTATTAAACCGATTTCCTAGAACAGTTTGTTAATTCCTGCATTCTACCTACATTTCTCCCCCTTTAATTTCTCTTGGGCTAATTGGGAAACAATTTGTTCCAATGTGAAAGACAATGAAAGCTGTCGGTGGGGCTAGTGGAGTGTTGCTAAACTAACCCATTAAAGCTTTTGTGGACAAGCATTTAAACTCATGCAAAACGTAGGCGAATATTATCTTGCTGGACTCTGAGCATCCTCTTCACGCACAACTTTCCCCTTGGATCGTATGATATGCAACAGTAGTTTGATCACATCAGTTAAGCACTTACATGATTAACATGCCTTTTGTACAGCAATGAAACTATTTGGCAAACACAATTTTATGAAAACAAAACACGTATTTTAGCGAAGTTTCATTTTTATTTATTTTTTATTTTGATTACAGCTTGATACCACACCGTATTTTCCTTACAAGTATGGAATTTTCACCATGGATATCGGTAGCCCAAATTTTGCAGGCCGACCATAGATATCGAGTATTCATTGGCGGGGGATCGAACCCCGGACCATATGCATGGTCGGCGAGAGTTCTGACCACTGTGCCACCGGCGAATTCATTCACATAGTTGTACAATCACAACTGTATTTCCTTATTTTTGTACGTCTCATGCATTAGGTTTGTTCCATAAGAATAAAACAAGTTGGTGCTGTTGTTGTCAAGATATTTCAAAAACGTGATGAGTAATCAAATTGTAACTATGGGGTTGAAGATAGGTAAGACGGTAGTGGTGATGTGTTGTCAAAAACATAGTTATTAATGTTAATCAACACTTGGAAGAAGTTGAATAAGCGTAGTACAATCACATAGTAAGACGAATAATTGAATGAGTGAGTTGTGATTAGGATTCAAATAGAAACAAAGAAAAACAGGGAACTACGTAAGAGATGGAAAAATTACATATGTCATAAGGGGTTGGAAAAAACAATGAACTAGAAATTGTCTAACTAACAGAAAAGATAAAATGGTATGTTAAGTACAACTTAATGATCTGAAGGTACAGTATTAAACGCCGTCTCTGTTCATTTTACCTCTGCCGCTTAAATCCAATGAAAAGTGTTGATTAGATTGTTGTGGTGCTCTATTTGACCATACTAGCGGACACGTATATCCTAGTAGTTCTTCGCGTTTATTATTGTATCCTAACGTTTTGAATACTCGACATCCACAACGTAAATCAAAAGGCACTTGAGAAGGAGTAGGAATGTGTATTATCGCAGTAATCAAAATTCAAAAGTTGAGCGAGCACAATGTATCAATTGTTAACACGCAATCTTTAGAGTTATAAACAAATCGAAGTCCAATTACATAGTGAAAGTATACTACGATGATGAATAATAAAATGGGTCACTACAAGCTCACATCTAAGATGTTGGTGCTTCTCAGTATGAACAGAAACAGTTTCGATTGTTATTCCCATTAGTCGTTAAAGTGGCTGAAAATGGGTTTAATAGATTTTATTTGGTGGTTACCAATTGCCTTTACTTTGTTTCTGCAGGAAAAAAGTACGGAGCTGCCCTTATTAGATTTTGACTTGCCACCAATTAGAAATAAGGGTTTTTCTACTTTCAACAGCGATACATACTTGGTCTATCAGTCATGGGACTCTAAGGAACTACGTAGTTGTGCTGCTTGAATGACTTCTAGGGCGTTTTCTGGCTGACTTAGACTAGCACTAGCGCTCATTATTGACGTATAATCAACGTGATAGGAAGAGGCTCAAAATAGCAATCATCTTGTGATTGGATGACTATGAAATTCGGTTGTATAATTTTTGAGTCAACTAATCAGAATATTTATTTTCTGCTGCCCTAGCCGAATTTTAATATGTTTAGAAATATATAGATGCGATGTGCTCCTTTCCTAATAGAGTTATGCCCTAACCATCACAGGGCAGTCTTTGTCTTTTGATATTTATATGGCTCAGCGAAGCGGAAGGTACCCAGGACGAATGACCATATTCAACATCTTAGTTGAGTTGCTCACCGTGTCAGCTTTATTATACCCACGCATAAGTTCACTCGGTCATATCAACTTACAACAGTTCATGTAAACTGGTGGCAGCTAAATAACACAGCTATCCTGTGCTTTGGACCTACTATCTGCTAGTTCTGTAGTGCGTGTTTCATTTTTAGTGGGTACACATCTGCGTAGTCTGGAATGGTATTTTCGCTCTCCTTTCGTGCGCTGTTAAAACATTCAGACTTTGAATCCGCAGTTCAGGTATACTCAACAGATAAGTTCTAGAGTCTGTTCTGCATGTTATCTTAAGTTTCTATTTTATTCAAGTATGCTGTTCATCACAGCACACTACTAAATGAGTCTTTTTGATTTGAGTTTTGCTATCAGTAGATACAAGTCAGGTAGAGTGCTGATTCATTGGGTAGTTAGGCGTATCATGCTAAGTAAGGCGGGTATAGTATAGCTAATTAATAACACAGCCTGTAACTTGCAACTCTTTAGCCTGACCCACCTAACCGGATGGTCAGGCTGTTCTTAGCGCCGCCCTAATTAGTGAAAGAAGAACATAATACTTACAGCATAAAAAGAATATAGAGATATACAACCACACCGCAATTCAGCAACCCTGCTATTGCCTTTAAAAAATTCAACAGTCCTGATGTTCAATCAGCACAGCAAACAAATTTATAATTTATGGCGGAATAACTGAGGTTCAATTGGAGTGACGAATTTATTTGACCCCATGTACGACCAGGCCTTCTTACTTGGTAGCATTGTATATTCAAGCATGTGCTTTGCAAAAGAGCATAGTTTTATCCATAGCTTATAACAGACCCGTATATTAGCTTGTGATTAAATTACTGTAGACAGGAAACTTTTGTAGACCAGCCCAAAAGACCTCTAGCTACTAGTATTTGCAAAGCAAATACTTTGGGAATTTTTCTTTATTGTCAGCATGCTTTGTAATAAAATGGATAAGCATTCAGCATAAAATGAATAAAGGGACGGCAAACACCAATAGCTGGAGACAATTGGTGATATAGCTCAAAATCATTCTCAATGGCTTGCGCAGATGCATCCACTTCTTGTAACTTATAATTTCCAATAAAACTATATTGTTCTTCGACATTACCATTCTTTTTGATTCATACCTCCATTTACTGTCGCTGTTTTGCATTTCTTTTTACTTTCTTCTCTGGCTTTGTGTGCTGAGTGAAGTGTGGTGACTCGAAATGCTGCACACCGGTGCAAAGTTCTATGTTGAAACCAGTCAGTCAATGAATAAAGGATGTACTGTTGTGGTGAGAGCTGGCTGCTAACCAAATCGGCAGACAGTAATTTACGTCAATGTTTACGTCCCCAATATTGGTCGTGAGAAAAATATGAACAAAGACTGATTCAACAACCAACCACAGCAGACTTTGCGTAGGCGGATACAGTTAGCATATAGATGATCTGACATTCAAGAAACAACCGCAAAAAGATTAACTTTCAGTGAGAAACAACCAATCAGAAGACTGTGTTTTTCTGCTAACAATAATCTATAATAATGTACATGAAAATATATATGTGTTGATTTCCTAAATAAACGATCTGTTTACTGGCCCTTGTCTTCTGTTGTTACACTATAACTACGCATAAATGATTTAGATTAGTAGGTAAAATGTTGGAAAAATGTTTTGCTTATATTTCAGATTGAATGTAATCCCTTCTGCATCATCCTCACATGGAGTAAGAAATTTTCTTAATTATACAAAGATGAGGACTGTTGACATTACAAAAATGTAACCAAATCAATCGTTCACAGAGTTGAAGAGCTAGTAGGTTAATTTCTGAATATAAATTCGTTGTAGGTATTTTAAAAACTTGGACACCGAGGAACTGTGAGATAAGAAATCTTAATACATATTCAACACGTGTGAAATGTATGAAACATTATTTGTCTCAGAGAATCGAGAATTCATGGTAATAACAATAATACTGATTTGTGAAGAAACTTTCGAAAAATTGTACCATCCAAGACGTCTTCAGAATAGAGGAGGATTGCACTAAGTGTAAACGATTGAAGATTTTAACATTCCAAGAATAAGCTGACTGCATGGAGTAGTATATTCACCTTTTGAAGATAATGAAAATCTAGATAAAACTAACTGCTCATCTAAACTAGATTACATTCCTAATAATCCTAGAATGTTTTAGATAAAAAATAATGGTATCAAAGACAAAATTAACTAGATATAATTTATATACTTTTTTTTATACAAATGAACTGGCTATTGACAAAATTTTTGTTATATCTCCAGATAAACTTCGTAAACGTGCAGGTATTGGTACAAGTATACGTGTGCCTAAAGGATTGCCATCATCATCAACCAGAACAATATTATTTGACTCAAACCGTGGCCAACCATTTTGAGATGGTAATCGGCAACCAACAATCCAACCTTTCTTCATTTCTCCATTAACGGCGACTAGTACTTTGTCACCTAAATTAGATAAAAATTAAACAATTTAAATAAGAAAAAAAAGTGATTCTTATTTCATGGATTTTAGAAACACTAAGGCAAATGAATTACAATTTACTGCATACTTATGAAAATTATGTTAAAAAAATATGGCTACTGAAGACAGTCAACAGGAAGCCTTGGATCTAAAGTTTCATGCTTGTTGGTATTCGCCATCACAGTGTATTATCTACAGCCTTGAAGGAGATCATGCCCGCTGTGAGATTCAAACCTGTATAATTCAATGCCATAGGCATAAACAGCCGCATCATCCTGGAGAGAATCAAACATGCCCTGGATGAAAAACTTCGACCGGAACAGGCTGGATTCAGGAGAAACAAGTCATGCATTGATCAAATCGCCACATTACGGATCATCATTGAACAAAGCCTCGAATGGCAGTCACCTCTCTATCTCAACTTCATCGACTTTGAAAAGGCCTTCGACAGCGTCGATCAAGAGGTGCTTTGGCAACTAATTCGCTACTACGGGGTGCCAACAACAATTATACATCTCATCCAACAGCTATACTACAATGCTGCATGCCAAGTAATCCACAACGGGAAACTCACAGAATCCTTCAAAGAATTGAAGACGAGAGTGAGACAAGCTGGCTCACTACTATCTTCAATGATTTTCTTAATTGCGGTAGACTGGATAATGCGATAAACAGCGGGCAATGAGGAAACAGGAATAAAATGGACTCAAACAAAAAACTTGGAGGATCTAGACTTCGCCGATGATTATGTCTGATTTCCCACAAAATGGAAGATATGCAAGCGAAAAGCAACAAGTTGGCAGAAGGAGCATCCAGATAGGATAGGACTTCAGCTGAACATAGATAGAGAAAACAGAGGTGATGAAGATTTCTGGCCAACAGCAACAGCAGCAACAACAACAACAGACAATAATCAGCATAAATGGAAGGAACCTGAAAGAAACAACCTCTTTACCTACCTGGGAAGCATAGTTTCAACTACAGGCGGAACTGACGAGGATATCAAAGCAAGAGAAGCTTTCATTACTCTCAAGTCTGTGTGGAGGTCAACAGCACTCAGCACGAAAATGAAAATAAGATCCGGATTTTTAACTCCAATGTGAAGTCAGTGCTACTCACTATACGGATCAGAGACTTAGCGCGTCATAAAGAGCATCTCAAACAAACTACAGACCTTCATCAACAGCTAACTGTCTTCGCTCAATACTCAAGATCAGATGGCAGGCCAAAAATGATCAGCAACAGAGATCTCTGGCAATGAGCGAACCAACTCAGCAGGAAGCGATTGTGAAACAAATAGGCAGGAAGAAATGGAGATGGATTGACTGGCCATACTCTGAGGAAACCATCAAGTGAGTGACATCACTAGACAAGTCATTGCTCGAGTGGAACCCAGCCGAAAAGAGAAGCGGCGAGTTGGTCGTCAGTGCAAGGGTGACTTGGAGGAGGTCATGTGAAGAGGAGATGAAAACGTGTGGGCAGACTTGGAGCCAGGTGAAGACTTTAGCAGAGAACCGAACGCAATGGAGACGCTTGGTTGAAGCCCTACTTTCCTCTAGGAATTAAAGGAAATAATAATATAAATATAATAAAAATAGGCATAAACACTGATACTGGACTATTCGGACTCATCATTGACGCTCTGCTTGTTAATAAGCAAGAAACTTAAGTCCACGGCATCTTACTCACTGCCACCAAACACTAGTCCAAATTACGCTGCGATAATAAGTTCCCTAGTTGGATGATAGCATTTGAAACTTGAATGATAAACTTCAGTCAGCGATAAGAATTAGGAATCATACTAATGGTGACGTCTAAGTGACCAATCAACATCGTCAATAGTTGTTCGACACTATGACTATCACATTATTCTAATGAAGTATTAATGACTAGGTGTAGTAAGCCTTAAGAGTAACTATGATATTAGAAAGCATAATTATCCATAAATGATCACTGAATACATTTATCGATTCCAATGTTTTATTAAGTGAGAAGATATTAGTTCGAAGAAAGCCTGGGTTAGTCAAAGCATGGTTAAGGTAATTGTTCTAACTGCTGTTTTGAACAGTATAGGCTAATGCACAGTTTGCCTGACTACGGTGCTAAACATAACTGCCGACTATTGATGATTTTAGCTTCAAACTACTTTTTTCTCTCTTGCAATTCCTGTGAAGATGTAAGATGTGTGTGCGGGGTAGGAGGTAAGCAGGACATTAACAAGTTAGTGTTGCATTGACAAAGTTTATCTACTCTCTGTGAGACATTTGTTTTTCATCATTCAACTTCAAATGCCAACAACAGATAAAGGCAATGATTTATGGAAAATTCCCCATGTAACACATAGAAAATTAAAACAACTGATTCAGCGAAGAGACTCTTTTCAACGAATTTATCATCAAGCTGTACAATCGTATATTTATACGGTTTTTAAGAAATTATATCCAGTTAGCGAATTGAATTATAGGTGTGAAATGCAGTTAAAATATTTGTGATTCTAATCATAATTAAATGTCAGGTGGCAAAACAATTAATGTCAAGAAAACACTGTACATCAGGTTGGAATTCAAAGGTGACTTAGCTTCTGATATCATGAAAAGAAGGATATCACAGTCCCTGAAAAGAGCATTGCCTGCTGCATCCTTGAGAATAGCTATTACCAGTCGACCATTACTGTTCAATAACCTGAAGGACAAGATCCCTATGTGCATTTATCAATTCAATTGCTCGTGTAGAGATAGGTATATCGGTAGTTCAACTTGAGTTTTGTCCAAGAGAGTGCAAGAACACTATCCTGCATGGTTACGAAGAGGTGGAAGCGGAGCAATAAGAAGCGTGATCATTGAACATTTGGTCGATAATGATCACCCTATCTCTATAGCCTCCGCCTTCAAAGTCATCTACAAGGCAAAGAGTAATTTACCCAAATCCCTACGTACCCAACTCATCTGTGTTGCTGAAGCTTTGGCTATCAAAACAGAAAAGCCAGATCTCTGTATTCAGAAAAAAGTTTGTTCAACCCCTCCAACTTTCATGGTCCTAATCCCCCTATGCTGAAGTATGATAATCCCTAATCATATTTAGGCTCTACCAATTTCTTTCATTTTGTATATTCAATTTGTATACTCTTCCTTTCTTACGTCAATTGTTATTATTGCTATCCTCACTTTGAACTGTCCCTGGTATTATTTCACTCGTTCCACTTGTTATTCTAAATCAATTCCTTTATGCAACATTAAATTCTATGCTATTAAATTTCACACAATATTACGTAACGTTTTTATTTTTATTTTATTCGATCTGTCTACTAATCCCATAACTGCACACCCTTTCCAAGTTCTATACATCCTATGAACATAAATTGTTTTGCCACTTGACATTTAACTATATGATTATAATCACAAACATTTTAGTTTTAATTGCATTTCATACTATTATTATTATTTTATGCATTCACACCTATGATTCTATTCCCTCCCTCAGCGGATATAACTTCTTAAAAAAACCGTATAAATATACGATTGTACAGCTTGATAATAATAAAAGCAATAATGATATAAAAGGCATAATAAAGCATTTTATTTGAATAATGATTGAAGAAACAATACTGAGTAGGAATAGAGAATATAAAAAAAGAGAACACAAATTACAACTTACCAATTTTTCCTCTATCCTTTTTATTATAAACACGAATACATTTTGCTGGTTTTATGGCAAGTGCTTTTGAGCCAAGAGCAAGTAAATGTCTTACATCTTTATCATTTTTAACTATTTTAGATGTTTTCTGTTCACTAGGTGTCACTTTTTTGCCTGAATGATCTTTACCACTACTTGTAATATTTGATGGTGCTATACTACTCCAGGGACTATTGTCAACAACGCGTAAACGTGTTTGTGGAGCGATATAATTTAAGCATCCATGACCTTCATTCACACATGTCCTATATATACAAAGTTAAAAATTAAAACAAAAACAACCAAATAACAAATGAAGAAAGTGTTACCAGTTGGTTATTTGATTAGATAAGAAACAATCGGATGTATTTAACAATTTAGCAGGAGATGTGTATCATTATGATTATCATTATTAAAACACAAACTTGATAAGCTATGTGCAGCAAACGATGCATCTCATATAAAATGTCATAGTTTATGCGAGGGCTAGGATACTTCTCGGAAGCCTAAATCCAAGCAGGTGGTTATTTTAATAAGGGACCATCCCCCGAGTCTCTGACTTGAACTCTCATCTACCAGGTGGTCTGTCGAGTAGCAGTTCCATGGTTTCCGGTAACCGAAATAAATAATTCCATATTAGTTTGTCTATTAGATATATCACACAGTGAAACAGTATTATTTACTGGATGACGTTTCGAACAAAATTTATTGTTCATAATCATATCAATTGATATGATTATGAACAATGAGTTTTGTCTGATTTCTCACAAACTTGAAGATATGCAAATGAAAAGCAACAAGCTGGCAGAAGAAGAATCCAGAGAAGATAGGACTTCAGGTGAATATAGAGAAAAAAGAGGTGATGAAGATTCCTGGCCAACAGCAACCACAACAACATACAACAATCAGTCAGCATGAATGGGAGAAATTTGAAAGAAGCAACCTCTTTCGCCTAGCTTTATACCTACCTGGGAAGCATAGTTTCAACTACAGGCGAGTGGAACTGATGACGATATCATCAAAGTGAGGATCATCGGGAAAGCAAGGCAAGTTTTCAATACTCTTAAGTCTGTACGTACACCTCAAAGTTGATAGTTCTTACTGACTGACACATCACTGTATAACAGGCATAATTTCAATGCAAATCTATATATGTCAGTGTAGGGCCATTTATGAGATATTGATTTAAAAAGAATATATTCCTTTTTTCGGCTTGTCTTGCTCCAAAACTATTATTTCTTTCTAATATCGACAGCTGTGTGTGTTGGTGGTGGCTTAGTGGTAGAAAGTTTGCCGGCCACGCAAGAGATCCTGGTTCAACTCCTGACCAACGCACTTGGTAAGCACTTAGCAATGTGCTTATTAGCTAGTAGTAAAACGAAGACAGAAGGAAGGTTTCGTATGAGTCTGGCAATCCCATCCAATATAAAAACAAGACCGCCACTATTGGAACTTCAAAGCTTAAAGACCTATGTTTCATTCGGAAAGCAAAGAAGTGAATGAAGTATATGTCGATCGATATCATTCAGTGTTCAGTGTTTACATTCATTCAACGATGCAATAAGAACTAACTACCAATACGAAAAATAACAGTTTTAACAGTAACATTTAAGACAAACTTTTCTCCAAAACTACCGACATATAGCTTCTGAACAAATTTCATTTGAATACATGATAATGCTTTTTCACTAAGTATATATATATATATATATATATATATATATATATATAAACAAGAGGCAATTTTATTCCTTTGTGTTCCGAGTGGAATATAGGCCTTCAAATTTCAGCTTTCGCGTTTCAGTAGGAATTTTTTTTTCTTTCCTTCACGTTCCCCAGTGAAACATAGGGCTTCAAGCTAGTGGCTTGAAGTTTATGTAGCAGGGTTTTTTTACAGTATGGGGTTGCTAGCCTCATGCCCAACCTTTCCTCTTTACCAGAATTATTTCTGGTTCAGCAAGGTAAAGGAGTGCGTCGGCCGGGGATCGAACCCCACACCATGTGCATGGTCGGCGAGCGTCCTAACCGCTACACCACCGACGCACTTTAAGTAGGAATGGTGTTTATTTATTTTTTAGGGGGGGGGGAGTTGCAGCCTCACATGCAACGTTCACTCCTTATCGGACTTACCGTTGACTAAACGAGGTTTAGGAGTGCGTCGGGAGGGGATCGAACCATGGACTATTTACTTGTGCGGCTGACAAGCAAGTTTTCTACTACTGAACCATAAACGCAGAACTAATTAAGTAGGTATAAATTATTATGGACACAAAGCATATAGTAAGAGAAAGGTAAGATAACAAGGGAATAGAATTATAAAGAAAAATACAGACAATACACTTACCATATAAATCGTCTACATTTCAATAAACTTCCTTCGTTAGAAATTAAATGACTACCTAATATGCGAAACTGAAATACAAGGAGACAAAAAAAGCAGAGAACAGGACTAGAAATTCAGTCATAAAATTACTGTATGAATTTCTTTCAATAACTTATCGAAAAAAATATATATTCGTCTATAAGGAATATAGATTTGAATACTGGATACTTTGATTGAAAACTAGGGTAGTAGTAAGTAACTGGTGTCATGCATCTAGACCTTGCTATTGGTGCAGACTAAATTCTATCATTCCAGTTTACAATGTGGTCACCATACCATGCTAGGTGGCTCGACATCACTGTGCACTATTGTTATTAGATGGTTGGAGGCAATCAACAGGAACCATTGCTCGACCTAGGTTTCGTGCTTGTTGGCACTTGTCAGTAGGGTGTATCTATAGCCTGAAATTCTGAGATTTGAACTCGGGTCATCCAGTGCTACAATCACTGAAGACTAACGAGGAAAACAGTCGCTGAAGTGATGCACAGTAGGATCAGAGAAGTCTTAATTTCATTCAATCGAAACATAACCCCTTAACATGTACAATTCCTGATGAATTTCCTTTAAATTTATGTAGTAGACTTAGATTTACAAGGTAGCCTAAACGAATGTTAGAGAATTGAAAGAGTAAGGTTGAAATTGGTCTCACGCACTTTCCAATAATCATCAACGCGGTATATTTCAACACATCCCCTATCAACTTTGCTCTTTTATCATAAAATTATGTGTGACAGTAATAAAATGCAAAATCATACACATTGATTTTGCACAGAACAATAAGCTGTACCATTTATATAAGGATTATTGACACTTGGTGTTAATTTCTTTCTTATCTATCTGTTGTTACTGTTTCCTTTGTGTCCAACTTTATACTGTGGTGCGAGCTGTCTGCTAGCCAAAATCGGTAGACAGCAATTCACGTCAATGCTTACTTCCCAAATCTTGGTGATGAGACAAACAAGAACAAAGCCTTTGCGTGGGCAGACACGATTCGCAGATATGTGGTCTGACCTTCGAAGAAGCGGCCACCAAGAGATGACAGATTAACTTTCAGTGAGGAAACAACCAATCAGAAGACGCTGTTTCGCTGCTAAAATAACGAGTAATATATATATATATATATATATATCTGTTGATTTTCTCAATAAACGATCTGTTGTCTGGCCCTTGTCTCCTGTCGTTACAATAATATTTACTACTAATAGGTAGTACGAGTTAATTTCATCTACCGTAACTATTGTTTCCTATTGAAATTTATCTCGCACGCCAGGCCCTCGAGTGGAGTCAAAATGGGAAGTGACCAGTGGGTCGTCCTAGGGTGACATGGAGGAGATCGTATGAAGAAGAGATGAGAGAGTTTTGTCAACTGTGGACCTAGCTGAAGAGGACGGCAGAAAACAGAACAAAGTGAAGATGTGTTGTTCAAGCCCTATGTTCCACTCAGAACGCAAAGGAATAATAATAATAATACTATTCATTCTATTTCATCTGTGCTAATTATCTTCATTATGGTGTAAAGATATCTGCTGTGCATGCTTTACTTTACTCTCTCTCAAACATTGTTCTAACATTCTAATGCCTTTATTCTTTATCTGGACATTCGCGGGCTGTTTAATACTGACTGCGGATCACTGTTGACACAGCCCCGTTGTTACTTCTTCTTAAGCATAGTGACAGTGTGTTTGACAGTATTCACTTCAACCCTTGTTATCTCACAGTTTCAGATTTTCATATTGTATGCTTTGTTTTGGACTTGGCGCGTAACTTAAGCGTTTGTTTTATTCAGTCGAATTGACTACGAGACCATATCTAAGATAACCTGGCATTGGCAAACGGCTATTCATGTAAGGGGTGATGGTGGTGGTGATGACTGAATTATTAGTGCGGCGGTACTCTCTCCACTGAACTACTAACAAACCTGATGAAGACCGCTGGTTTAAATGTTATACAACAACCTAGATTTCTCATTTCAAGCTAAGACTGTCTCAAGTAGTTTCGCCATTGAACTTTGAAGAAAGAATATTTAAACATGCTTACATAAATAAAGCAAAATATTTTGATGGTATTATGCAGGTGAAGCATATCACAGACGTTTTAAAGAGTTAGTTTGTAGGGATTTGATTTGTTTCACTAACCAATCACCAAACTTGTCATTTTAGTTTACATTAAACGACATGAAATAGATTGTTCAAATACATATATAGTATTCTGTTGCTAATGCAGTATTGAACTGTGTGAATATTATTCAGACGTTAGCATCAACAAATACAATGATTCTTACTGTGTGAGAATAATATTCCGTTGGAACATATTGTCTGTATCACACCACCATATAGGGAGCACAGCTATTTCGTCCTTGTCCGAGACTCGTCAGAAGTACACATCCGACAGGGTTCGGTTACAAGGCAAGCTGTAAACGGGACTAGCTACAAGACGAAGTTGTCTGGAGTTCTAGTAGGAATTCGTAGTCAGTGGGTTCCATCATGTAGAGCCTGAGAACAAATATTCACCGAAAGCCCCTGGATTCGAACACTGGTAGGTGTGCGTACCTCTGAAGCGTCCCAAGGCACTAGGACAAAACAGCTTTGTCCAGTAGTCTTCTAGTTTACCAGTGGCTGTCTACTAAGTGATGTCAGCTCGTGATCAGACTTGAGACATAACATAGCGACTCTGTGATCAATCCAAACAGCAACAAAACAAACACCACCGGAATTACAAACACAAATCAAGATAAGAAAAGTTTGTCTTCAAAATGAGATATGCATTAAAACTGTTTTATTTATCCATTTTTTTATTTACAAGTCAATCTATACAATATAATAATAGTTTTGAATAGGATAAAAAAACCTCCAGGAAGGAGAAAAAGGAGAAGGAGAAGTTGAAAATTCATTTTAATTTAGAATAAGTGAATGAGAACGTCGTCTACGTTGAAGTAATTCTTTGTATTTTTCTTCCATTTGATAACGATTGACTATTTTCGGTGGGATAATATCAACTTTTGGTAGACGAGTATAAAATTCCACTGCATGTGGAATAGACTGATAAGTTTGCAATATATCTTGTATATCAGATGGTAATGTTATTAAATCAGCTGAAGAAATATTCATACTTCTACCATTAATTTTAAGTAATTCATTCAATTGTTCAGTTGGTAAATAATCGTAATAATCATTGTAATCGTATAAGTAGAAAGGTGTACACATTTGAATTGTACCTGAATAGTGGATAATTTATAATGCAAGAGAAAAGAATATAGTAATAATATTACTTATACGAGCTTATCACGGATTGATATCACTTAGAGAACCATTGAAAAGCAGCATTGGAGTATTGGACAGCTGTTTCATCCTAGTTTGGGAATCATCATCAGTACGCATCCACCACAGAAGGTTCGAACCCAGGACCTCCCAGTTACGAGACAAGCTCGTATACCATTCAGCCAATGGGACCCGATTCAAAAGCTCATGAATTCTAACTTCTACCAATTCGTGATTTACCGCGATCCCAATGATATTAGAGCTTGTCTTGTAACCGGAGAGTCCTGAGTTCGAACTTTCTGTGGTGGATGCGTGGTGGCGATGATTCCAAAACTAGGATGAAACAGCTGTCCAGTTCTTCAGTGCTGGTTTTCAATGGTTCTCTAACTGATATCAATCCATGATCAACTCGTAAAAACAAAACTAATCCTTACAAACCAACTATAGAAATCAATCGACGAAACTGTGAAATTACATCGATTGAGATGGTTAGGACATGTGTTACGTACGCCTAGTCATCGCCTTCCTCGACGATGGGCAATGTTAGCTGATATAGGGTCAGGCTAGAAAAGAGCTAGCGGCGGTCAAACCAAAACATGGCTCCATCAGTCAATGAAATCCACAACAGTTAGTTTAAACCATGTAGGAAGGTGTAGACTTCCTGGTTGGGGTCCTCGGGACGGTAAAAAGCAATGGTTGGAAACAATTGGTGACATGGCTCAAAATCGTTCTCAGTGGCGCAGATGCATCCACTCCTTGTGACTCATGATTTCCAATGAAACTGTTTTGTTCTTCGTTATTACTATTCCTTTGTCTCACACCTCTGTTTACTGACTATATTATGCATTTCTCCTACTTTCTTCTCTTGCTTTATGTGCTACATCGAGTGTGGTGACTTGAACTGCCGCACATATGTGCAAAGTTCTATGTCAAAAACCGACCGACCGACCGATTATTATCATTATGGATAAAGCACCAAAATGATTCTGTCGAAGACGGGTATCAGTTATTTTAGGGAAAAGAAACCTACTCACCTGGAACTAAACAGTGTCGGACGGCTGCTTCATCCTAGTTAGTGATACTTCAGTTATGTGTACTCATGACTTATATTAGGTGTTAGGTATAGGAAAGCTAAATTTCACACCATGGGTTATTGTTCATCAAATTCATCCTTTGCAAATTAGTTAGCAATTTGTGCAGTGTTGTACACACGGTTCGAGGGGTGAATTTTTCACCTCACAGTTTTCTTTGGAAAGCAAATTATTCAGATAAGAGTACGTGATGTACATATTATAGATTGGTAACTAATTTGAGAATTAATCAATTTGATCTATGGTATCATCAGTTCACCAAAATTCGCTAGCGAGGAATAGAACGGTTTAAGTTGGTTCGCCTTTCTGAAATGACCCAACCGGGTACACGCCACCGTCGATGGGCTCAGTACCAAACGACCGGAACGGTCGATCAGTGTTTAGATCACTTCGTTGATCTGGTTAGGAAACACCACTGGTTGATATGAGTGTGGTATACATCGATGAGTAGTATATAGTTTCATAGTTACCGTACAGCCCTCATCAGGTTGTGATCGCAATGGTCGATGTAGCGTCTTCATTTGGATGCTAACGGGGGGTTTACTGACAAAACCTATCCCTAGTTTTCGAAACAATATCTGTTGATAATGACGATATCAACGAGATTGAAGTGATCACAGCTTGACAAAACTTAACAAAGTATTTCATTCAATGATATCGGTGCTTCTTCATTGTTGAAAGGCGTTGGTTGATTGACATCGGAAATAGCAATTCACTAAAAATAAAGACTGAAGTTGATAGAAAATCTAAGTGACACTAGACTTTGACATAGCATAAATGCTCTTCAAAAAACCGTTTCTTTTACACGAGCCTTCTGCATTCATGCAGGGATTTCGTCAGCAATCACCCATTGAGACTTATGCAAATAAGTCCCCAAATAAGTGGTGGTCAACATGCCCTACCACTTCAGTCCCCATCTTAAAGCTAGGAGTCGATGTAGTCCAGTCCTGTAGCATCCATCATCTTGCATTTCACTGACAGGAGAGAATCGCATGCTAAACATTCAAAGATTGCTGCTCCTCAAAGTGTTCAGAAGACTCTGCATTTTTTCAACATCTTCACCGAGGAGGACTATATTAGCCACATATTCTAAGTCAACGAGATTATGCTCTGGTAACTCGGGACTGAGCAGCACATATATATATATATGTGTTAGGAATAAAAATTAATGTAAGCAATGAGGTAAAAAAATTAAGTGTGATTGATCAAATCCCAGTCTATTTAATTAAGCCTGCAAAGGGGAGGGTGCAGCAGTATTGCGCAACTTCAGTTTAGTTCATATTCCAGTATATTTTTTTTACTTTTGATTACAGCTTGATGCCACACCGTATTTTCAGTACAAGTATGGAATTTTCAGCATGGATATCGGTAGCCCAAATTTTGCAGGCCGACCATAGATATCGGGTGTGCGTCGGCAGGGGATCGAACCCCGGACCATGTTCATGGTCGGCGAGAGTCCTAACCACTGTGCCACCGACGCACAAAACATTCTTTGGTAATCAGAGCGCATTATTACTATTATTACTATGATTATGATTATTGTCACCACTGTTGTTTGGTCGGAAACACTCACCCAAATCACGTGCTTTCTCAACTTCCATTTGAAGAATTTTATGCTGATGTTGACACAGACCTACAGATAAAAAAATGTGAGAAAACATGAAGTAAAAGAAATAAAGTGTTTACAAAACTAGACATACAACACAGAGATATTAAATAGTCAAATTCATCATAATTTCAACTGAATAGAAAATCTCAGACAGTCTATGTATATATAGTTCACTGGTATTTAGTCATTAGCCTTAAACAAGGATTTTACAAGCAGAATATTTCTTGTAACTTACTGAGATTATTTCGACAGCCAGTAAGCGTCGCTATTTTTCATACAACAAAAATGTGACTCACTCACTGCCAAGTTTACAAATATGTATACCTTACTTACTTACTTAACTTTACTTCAGTTATCTCCTACGGGAGGATGAGCCGGCTTCATGAACATCTCGAATCATCGCTGCCCAGGCGCGGCGATCTGATGCAAGGTTTTGCGACACGGTTATCCAATTCTTGTTCCACAGACGGAGTCCGTAGACGGTTTGTAGCCCCAGGCACTCTATATCAACTTCCCAAAATAGGTGAAGTGGTCAACATGTTCTATCACTTCACTCCCTATCACTAAGCTAGGAGTTGACGTAGTCCAGTCCTGTAGCAGCATCTTGCATTTCACAGGGGCGAATCGCATGCCAAACATACGAAGATTGCTGCTCAAGGTGTTCAGAAGACTCTGCATTTTGTCAGCGTCCTCCCCTAACAGGACTATGTCATCTGCATATTCTAAGTCTATAAGACTATTCCCTGGTAACAAGTCGATTCCTAAGTCATTAAGTTCAGTTAAGGATACTTCCATTAGCATATCTATGATGAAGTTAAGCAGAAAAGGGGAAAGTGGACATCCTTGACGGACACCACTGGTTGTTATCAATTCAGATGACAATTCCCCATAAGCCCTTACACAGCTACGTGAGTTTGAGTAGAGTGCCTTGATTAGTGCAATGCACTTTCTTGGCACTCCCTTCACAGTCAAACATTGCCACAGTACCTCTCGATCCACGGAGTCGAAGGCCGCCTTCAAGTCAAGAAATATGGCAATTGTTGGACGCCTAAAAGTGTGTCTATGTTCTAAGATCTGTCGGAGAGTGAAGATATGATCTATGCACCCTCTACCTGACCTAAAGCCCGCTTGATTTTCCCTCGTTTGTTCCTCCCGAGTTCGGCTTAGTCTGTTCATGATTACTGAGCCTAGGATTTTAGAGACTATGTTCGTTAAGCTGATTCCTCTATGATTATCACATGAGGACTTGTCTCCCTTCTTGAATATTGGTATGATAAGTGACTTACCCCAGTCTGATGGAACCGTCTTTGATTCCCAGACGTTACCTAGTACTTTAGTTAAACTATATACTAGTATGTCACCCCCATAATTAAGCACCTCCGGAATAATTCCGTCGGGTCCTGCCGCTTTGCCTCGTTTCAAATTACAAATTGCTTTGGTGACCTCACTTACAGACGGCGGACCAGTGTCTATATCCCATTCGGGTGTGTGCTGGATGGCGGGGAGGCTCAGTGTGGCTGTAGGCAAGTTAAACTGTTCCTCGAAGTGTTCTTTCCAGCGTTCGAGGCGTCTATCCTGAGAGCTAATTAAGGAGCCATTTTTCTCAGAAATAGTCTCACTTATGATTTACCTTCTCCCACCCGTTTCCCTGATGAGTCTAAAGAGTTGCCTATCGCCGATGCTTTTTCCATCTCTTTCGCCTTTGTCACCCACCACTGTTCACGGTCCTTGCGGCGACTTTTCGTAAGTTTCCTTTTGTGCAGCTTTCGCTCCTCATTGAATTCGGAGCTCGCCGGAATAAGTCTTCTAGCATCTATCAGTTCGGATGAAGCAGTCGAAATCCAATGGTTTTTACTCACCTTTGGATTTACCTTATTCACAGCTTTTACAGCTGTATCTATGGCTGATTGAATATTCTTCCAGGCTTCTTCAGGGTGAGCACAGCTGTCGAACTCAGATATGTGTTTAGCTAGTTCTTCCTCAAATAGGGACTTAGTTCCCTGGTCGAGCTGGGGACGTGATGGGTTTACCGCTCGCTGTTTCCTACGTCCGTTCAGTCGTAAGCACACACGAGCGCGGACCAGTGCGTGATCGGTATCTACACACGTGTTCCAGAAGGAGCGACAATCTCCTACCGACCCACGCCAACGATAGCTTATTGCTATGTGGTCTATTTGTGTCCAGCGTTGGTTTGATGATGGAGGTTGCCAGGTCAAAGAGTGTCTCTCCTTGTGTTTGAAGTTAGTGCTTACAAGAAACAAGTGATTATCTGAACAGAACTGTAGGAGCCGGTCACCGTTGTCGGTTCGCTGGTACGGAATTCCGTATGTGCCACCAACATTCTTCTCAAATTGGCACAATTTCCCTACTTGAGCATTAAAGTCACCAGCTAAAAAGACTATATCTGAGCTTTTAGCCTTTCGCAGCAAACTAGACAGCTTTTGGTAGAACTCATCCTTCGTTTCATCCGAACTGCAGTCAGTGGGGGCGTAGGCGGAGATTACGAAAAGGCATCGGCGAGTAGTGCAGTCCTTTCTCCTTTTCACTGATCCGTTCAGACGGACAGCACACATTCGGCTATCTACCGGGATCCAGTCAAGTAACGTCTTTTCTGCTCTAGTACTTAAAGCTATCCCAACACCAGCTAATCCTCGTGAGCTAGCCGTCGCATCTCCTGACACCCTCAAGGTGAATTTTGCATATTCATCCTGTTGGCCAGGTGGGGTTAGGTGAATAACCACACTTGGGTCTTGTATGCGTGTTTCTGAAAGACAACATACATCAATGGCTCGGGATGCCAGAGTCTTGGCTAGTGATGCCTGTTGTCCTATTTGGCAAAGTGTCCTTACATTAAATGCCCCTATATGAAATTGGTGACGTGGCTTTAGGAGACTATCGATGGTGGCTTTTTGGCTTCCATCGTTATCAGTGCACACAGAGTGAAGAGGAAGTGAAGGGCCATTAAGTAGAGGAGTTGCATTAGTAGAAGGAAGGTAAGATAATAGAGATGAAGATGAAGACAAAGGTGAGTGAGGAATAGAGAGGTTTCGCGTGCTCTTCGGGTTGTGAGGGCGATTGTTACTTCCCGGCTGCCCACACCGTGGAAGTTGGTTGCGTGACCGCAGAGCCCAGGGGACAACTGCTTGACGCCGGTCACACACGGCCTGTTTTTGTTTGTTGTTTTTCATTTGGTGTGTCTCAGTAGCGTATTTATCACTTCTGCCCTGTGACACGGCAGCAGAAAGCGCGGTCGTTGTTAATCCGGGCCCCGACCGATCCGGCATGATATTTTGTGATTTATTTGAAATCATAGGATTGGATTGGGTAACTGCTTTTAGTCTAACCGCTATCCAAACAACCTTTCTGGCATGGTAGGACCTACAGGAACATAAGTTCCAGCCAGTGTAGCTCGTTGTGTCATTGCGATATGCAAGCCCGACCACCACGTAAAGGTAGCAGCTATCGGTCGGATTGATTGGTGACGAAATCACAGCACGGATTCAGAAATCTCGGGCTGCTTTCGCTCATTTACACCGTCTCTGGCGTAGGCGTGACATTCGGCTATCAACCAAGGGACGTGTATACTGCTCAGCAGTTCGCTCCGTCCTTCTCTATGGCGGTGAGACGTGGCCATTGAGAGCGGAAGACATGAAGAGATTGTCTGTTTTTGACCACAGATGTTTACGATCTCTTTCTCGCGTTAGGTGGTATAATAAGGTAAGTAATGTTGACGTTAGGCGTAGAGTGTTGGGAAAAGAGGGAAAATCACTCGAAGAGGCTATGAAGTTACATAGATTGAGATGGTTAGGTCACGTGCTACGCATGCCTAGCCATCGCCTCCCCCGACGGGCATTAATAGCTGATATAGGTGCAGGTAGGAAAAGAGTAAGTGGTGGCCAAACAAAAACATGGCCTCATCAATCCATTAAATCCCTGACAGTTAAACTGAGTCAGGTAGGGAGGGAGATGCAGACTTCCGGGTTGGGGCCCGCCCTCGGGACTCTAAGAATCAATGGCTGGAGACAATAGGTGACATGGCCCAAAATCGTTGTCAGTGGCTTACGCAGATGTATTCAGTCTCTTTAACCTTTCATATTCCTTTCTACCATTACTCATTCTGTTTCACTCTTATACTTGTCAAAACTCTATTGATTCTCTTCTCTCATTTTCCTGTCTACCTTTTGTGCTCTTTGGAACGTGGCAACTGGAACAGCTGCACCTCGGTGCCAAGTTCTATGTTGAATCCAGCAGCAGCAGCACTCCATATCAGCCTTGACTGTACCAAGCCATGTTTTCAGCTGTCCACCCCTGCGACATCGCCAAGATGGTAATGGCGAGGGATTTGGAACTGATTTGACCAGATCGTCATCTGGTCGGCGCAGAACATGGCCAAACCACCGAAGGCGACGTTGTAAGAGAGTTCATGAAGTTTCATGGGAATTTGGTACGAGTGATATCCCCAGAATCGCTCGGCCTTTTGTTTGAGAGTGCAGCTCTAGCCTTTACACAACCAAGTGTGACCTACAAGGCAGTAGGAGTGGAGTAGGGAGTCCACTATCCATTGGCAGCCGGTGACCGGAGTTCGGTTCATACGCCTTTTTGAATGGGGACAGACATCCAGGACATCCAACAAGCCCTTTGTCCATACGTCTGTCGGTGAGCTCCAGTGAGCTTCATACGCCAGTCGTTGGAGGTTTGGAATCAGGGTTTAGCCATCTCCCCTAGACTGTCATCCAATGGACAGTCAACCCGGTGAAGAGCGCCGGGCATCCGCTTTCGCCCTCTCACTTTGGATTACATTAAGCTATATTACACGATTTAGGACGCTCGCCGACCATGCACATGGTCCGGGGTTCGATCCCCGGCCGCCAACGCATTCCTTTACCTCGCTAAGCCAGAAAAAAATGCTGGTAAAGAGGAAAGGTTGGGCATGAGACTAGCAACCCCATCCTGTAAAATAAACACTGCTACAGAAACTTCAAGCCACTAGCTTGAGGCCCTATGTTCCACTGGGGAACGCGAAGGATAAAAAAATACTACACGATGAACCTTGCGGGTATATAGATTTTTTTATATATACCACTAATGACTGGGAATTGAAGAGCAGTGTAAATCACGATATAGAATTCTAATACATAACACAATTGGGTAATTTCAAATTTCTCAGTCTTATTACCACCTAATGACAAAGAGAATCTTTACTTTTTTTCTTCTTAAAATTCCTCTCGTATGACATTGTGTTCACAATGTATTCTAAACAAATCCTATTGATCAGAGAAAGTGGAAAAACGACATTCACCGATTCTTAGCAGCATCCTAGTGTATGTGTAAAACTTGGGCACTGTGGTAGTAAGTAATTCCATATTAGTTTGTTTATTAGATATATCACACAGTGAAACAGTATTATTTACTGGATGACATTTCGAACAAAATTTATTGTTCATAATCATATCAATTGTAATCACACGACTTTGAAACTTGAGTTTTATAGTTTTCTTTGTTCTCTCCTATTTGTCGTCGTTGGGGTAGTAGAATTTTCCGTATATCGGGGACAGGTGATGAATCATTCCTATTACATGTATTTGCAGTTGATTCGATAAACAAAGCTTCAGTTATCAATCTCTCCGTAAACCCTGTGACATTAGATTTTAAAACTGTCATCCTATCCCATCCTATTGTATGCTTGTATGTGACTGCATGTAGTGCTATAGCTGAACTATTCTCTAGATTTCTTATCTTATTTGGATCAACCAATCTAGATTTTGCTAAGTTTTTATGTTCAGCTAGTCTGACTGCCCCTGTTCTACTAGTTTGACCTATGTATTTGACCTGACAATCATTTCAGGCAGGCTATTAGATAAACTAAATTGTTTTGTTTTAAAGGTTCTATAGGATCCTTTAACCGACAAAACTTGTTTCTAATTGAGTTTGTGGGTTTGAATGCCATTTTTATTCCTGCCTTGTTAAGAATTCTGCGTAAGGCTTTCGAGGTTCCTTCCTTGTATGGAATTACTACTGATGATTTGGATTCCTTATTGTTGGTGTCGTCATTAATATTATTATTATTATTATTATTATTATTATCACTATTATTATTATCATTATTATTGTTATTATCACTATCGCTACTATCACTATTTATTTTATTTTTACATTTCCTTACATATTTCCTGACTAATTTATCCGGGTAATTATTAAGTTTTAAGGCTTCTTTTATGTGTATCAGTTTCTGTTTTACATTTTCTTTGGTACTACTTAGTTTTTGTGCTCTGTCATTTAAACGTTTCACCAATCCTATTTTTACTGACATAGGATGGGACGATCGGAAGTCCAAATATCTGTTTGAGTGTGTGGGTTTCCTGTAAACACTAGTGTTTAACTTCCCATCTTCTTTCCTCTTTACGTTGCAGTCTAACATTGGGAGATCCCCTTCCTGATTTTCCAATTCATAAGTGAATTGAATTGCTTCAACCTTCGAGTTGTTGTGTTCGAAAAACCTATCTATATCTTGTGTTCTCAGTACAGTGAATGTGTCATCTTCATACCTCCACAATACTTTTGAGGTGGGGTTGAACGTTTCAATCGCTACGCTTTCCCACTTATCCATGAATATATCTGCTACCACTGGGAATATCGGTGATCCTATGGCAACTCCTTCAGTTTGTTTGTATATTTTCCCTTGGAATTTAAATACTGTGGAAGTCAGGCATAGCTGTACTTACTTTACTTTACTTCGGCTATCTCCTACGGGAGGATGAGCCGGCTTCATGAACATCTCGAATCATCGCTGCCCAGGAGCGGCGATCTGATGCAACGTTCTGCGACAGGGTTATTCAATTAAGAGAGTTCATGAGGTTTCGTGAGAATTTGGTACGAGTGATGTCCCCAGAATCGCTCGGCCTTTTGTTTGAGAGTGCATCTCTAGCCTTTACACAACCAAGTGTGACCTACAAGACAGTAGGAGTGGAGTAGGGAATCCACTATCTATTGGCAGCCGGTGACTGGAGTTCGGTTCATACGCCTCTTTGAATGGGGCCAGACATCCAGGACATCCAACAAGCCCTTTGTCCATACGTCTGCCGGTGAGCTCCAGTGAGCTTCATACGCCAGTCGTTGTCCTCAAGTGGCACTTTTGTCCTAAGTTCGAGTTCTTGGTCAGAAATGAGTTTGTTTCTGACTGCCTCTATAGCCATATTTATTGGTATACGTGTGTATAAACTGACAATGTCAAAACTAACCATTTTTTCTTCATTGTCTAATTTTAAATTATCTAATCTGTGTTTTATTTCATAAGAATTAGTTAGTCTAGATTTCGAGTGGATTTTTAGGGGATTTAATACCATGGCTAAATATTTAGATAATTCATAAGTAGGTGAATTTCTAAAATCAACTATAGGCATCCTAGTGAATTAATAAGGGATTTTAAAAGACTGATTAATTGAACAATGAATATTATTTAATCAATCAAGGATTTACTGATGAAATGAGATTTGAAAGTGACAGTATTCCAAATAAAGAGGTGAACTTATTTCACTTGTGTATACAAGTATCAAAACGAAACTGTCAACGCTGTTCAGCACTACACACACCGTGAACTGCACCTTCGGTTTTGGGGTAATATTTACCACACTGTTACGGAAAGCAATACGTCAAGCTAAAACACAATCCTCCATGTATGTTTGTTGCCACATTTATCCACTGATTTAAGTCTTTTAACGCATACCTGTATTGTATGCCAAGCCATCGGCTTCTTCGTCGAGCAATGGTTAGCTGATGTAGGGACTAAGTTGGAAAAGAGTTTAATGATGGTTACACCAAAATTTTTGCATCGATTCATGAAATATTTGACCGTTGGTTTGAACAACACAGAGGAAATAGACTGCTTGACTGAAGTCTTCTCTGACGAAATCTCAGTGCGAATAAAGAGGGCTAGTTTCGCACATGCCAGTTTACGCCTTCTCTGGTGTAGACGTGATATCCGACTATCGACCAAAGGGCGTGTGTACTGCTCAACAGTCCGCTCCGTCCTCCTTTATGGCTGTGAGACCTGGCCATTGAGAGCGGAAGACATGAAAAGACTAGCTGTCTTCGATCATAGGTGTCTGCGTTCTATCTCCCGCTTGAAGTGGTATAATAGGGTGAGCAATATTGAGGTTAGGCGTCGAGTGCTAGGTAGGTGGGAGGGGAAATCAATCGACGAGACTGTGAAATTACATCGACTGAGATGGTTAGGAGATGGGATACGTATGCCTAGTCATCGCCTTTCTCGACGGGCAATGTTAGCTGATATAGGGCCAGGCTGGAAAAGAGCTAGCAGCGGTCAAACGAAAACATGGCTTCATCAGTGAATGAAATCCACAACAGTTAGTCTAAGCCATGTAAGAAGGTATAGACTTCCTGGTTGGGGTCCTCGGGATGGTAAAAACCAATGGTTGGAAACAATTGGTGACATGGCTCAAAATCGTTCTTAATGGAACTGATGCATCCACTCCTTGTGACTTATGATTCCCAATTAAACTGTTTTGTTCTTCGTTATTACTATTCCTTTGTTTCACACCTCTGTTTACTGACTATATTATGCATTTCTCCTAGTTTCTTCTCTTCCTTTGTGTGCTACATGGAGTGTGGCGACTTGAACTGTCGCACATCGGTGCAAAGTTCTATGGCGAAAACAAACCGATAGACAGACAGAGATAGAACTACTCACCACCATCAATCAGTAGTGTATAATTAAATGCTGTTTCACGTAAACTTTTAGTATAACGTGAGTAGTTGTCAATCACACTGTTTAGTGAACTTTATGTTGAAAAAAATGAAGGATAAAGTTAACCTATTGATATACAATATGATATATATATATATATATATGACTTACCAGTTTTTGCAGTTGGGAAAATTTGAAGTGTATCAGGATTTAAAAACTGCTTTAAAAGTTCAGTATGCTACAATAAAGCAGAAAAAATATCTTTTTTTTTAAATTTTAATTTGAGCATGTATAGATGTCAACTTAACATAAAGACGACGCATAAAAAACAAAATAACAACAACAAGCTCTGTATTATTTAATTAGAAGAGCTTGACTTTGAATAAGTTGATTCAAAATAGGAAAATTACAAGCACTTTTAGCAGTGTTAATAGGTAACAAAAAGGTTTATCTGCATGTCAGAACAAAAAAAGAAAAGAAAGGAAAATCAGTTGAAATAAACTAAATAAATACACTTTAAAATAAGTGATGGCGGGGGGGGGGGAATATTGCAAGAATAATCAGTACGTTGTGACAAGATTACTCAGCTTTTCTTTAAATTTTTATTCCTTCACGTTCCCAGTTGAAAATAGGGCACCTTCAAGCTAGAGGCTTGAAGTTTCTGTAGCAGTGGTGATTATTTTTACAGGATGAGGTTGCTAGCCTCATGTCCAGCCTTTCCTCTTTACTAGCCGTATTTCTGACTTAGCGAGGTAAAGGAGTGCATCGGCCGGGGACCGAACCCAAGACCACCTGCGTGGTTGGCGAGCACTCTACCGCTGTGCCACCGACGTACTCAGCTGACAACTATTAAGGTAGATAATGTGTTATAATTACATCACACTTTAAAGATAGACTCCTTTTAAGAAAGCTATTTATTCATAATCATTACCACCAATTTCCGGGTACATAGTTCAGCTACTCATTAAATAACTAACGTTCACTTACAGAGTTATGTTACAAACTTTATCAATAGTAGTAACACATAGACTGTAAAAGAAATCCACTGACAGGTAGAACAGCAATCGGTTCTCCTGCTTGCTAACTCTGACCAATAAGCTGTAAATGCGAAATTTACCACTTAGCTATACTGGTCACAATTCACTCCATATAAAATAGACAGATAAACACATAAATAATCAGCGAAATAATTACGAATATATCTAGCTAGTGTTAAGAGTGTCTTGACCGGCACCTGTTATCCAGATATGGAATGTCGTCATCAAAATAAGAGATACAAGTCACTTATTATTTACCAAAAACACAAACATGGTACATTATGGGCACCAAAAGATGCACCAAAACAAATCTCATAGTTTGTCCGAGGACTGGGATACTACTTGTGCGCCCAGACCGAAGCAGGTGGTTATCTTAAGAGACCGATTTCCCGCCCCCCCCCTCCAATCTTCGACTTGAAGTTTTATCCACACGGCAGTCGAGCAGCGTTCCCATGGTTTCTGATGACCAAAATAGGTACATACGCTCTTCGATCCATTCGGAATCTGGAGTCCATGTACACTATAAGTTTAAAATCAGAGTCTTTCAGCTCCTCTAGGTGAAAACGTGTGTGTCCACCAATCCAGTTGTAGGCGTCAGACGTTCATATTCACCCTTCCATTATTGTGAAGAGTGCTCCCTGTGTGAACGCAGTGAAAAGGACTTATCTAGTAGAGACTATGAGCATGTGGTTACATGAAAGCACTCCAAGAGGGAAACCAAAGTCTACTCATACTCAGCTGAATCAGGTCGTTTATTTAAGATCCATCAAATCAAGAGATAGGAGACTGTTGTGCGTTGTATTGTATTATAATTGTACATTAAATGATGCCCTGCAACACACTGCAAAGTGGCGTTGTATAACTTAACTTACTCATCACAGTGTACACTTATTTGATAGAATTCAATCAACATCCAAGACAAGGAACCCGTATCAGTTACCTTCTAAGGACACAACAGATGTACATAATGATATGAAGACTTAATATGTTAGACTAGTGAGTTTTAGATAGTAAAATGTAATAGACTTACCTTAGGAATTTATGTACACTTTTTGCATTTGTAGATAAGGATAAAAATGATGACCTTGAATCTCCTTTCAATCACTTAACTGTTATAGTTTTGCCTGATATGAGAAATTCTGTAAACTACTATAGACAAAGGCTGCCTGCTATCACCAATTGTATTACAAATTGTGGTGGACTGGACCATGAGACAGGCCGTGGGGAACGAGAAGACAGGAATATGTTAGACCGACAAGAAGACCTGGAATTAGCGGACGATTTATGTCTAGTGTCAAACAAACTCGGAGATTTACGGAAGAATATCAACAAGTTGGTAGAATAAACATCGAAAACAGGACTTCAAATGAACATACAGAAGATAGAGGCGATGAAAATACCCGAAGTCTAAAAACAACAAGCACCAGTCGCCATCAAAAGGAGAATTCTGAAGGAAGTTACTCCTTTCACTTTCCTTATTTATTTATTTAAATGCAGAAAAAACTTGGTACAATATGGCGCCAAGAAAGATGCGCCACACAATAATAATAAAACAACATAGATTAAAAGTAAAAATATAGGTAGAAAACGGATAAAGAACTTCATCTGGAAAGAAAAGTCATGTTTAACAAGTTCAAACAGTATTCGTTAACTATGATCAGGAAGGGAGGAAAGGAAAGGGATTACGATTCTTGGTCATATCCGATAACGTTTCGAGCCATCGATTCGAACTATCTCGCGGACCCCAACCAGGGATTCGTGACGCACCAACCGATGCTAATCTAGCACAAAAATCCTTCATCCCACGACGCCACGTCATGGACTGACCACCCCTTTCACTTCATTTTCCATCCTGTCCCAGGGCTGGCTAGCGAACAGAGACCTGTACGGAAGCCTCTGGGATGACATTCGCAGCATATGTCCAAGCCACCGGAGCCGGTGTTTCCAGATGACGACACTCAATGAATGGTGATCTCCACTGTGTTCAAACACACGCCACCGAACCTCAGAATTACTCACGCGATGATGCCATCGAACGCAAGCAATCCTGCGGAGACAGCGGTGATCGAACACGCAGAGTCGCCTCACATCCTCAGCTCGGAGAGGCCAGGTTTCACAGGCGTAGAGCAGCGCAGCCCGCACCGAAGCATTGTATACCCGACCTTTGACAGCCAGGCTAACGTCGCGACGGCGCCAGAGGTGGCTCAAGTTGGTGTATGCCACCCTAGCCTTCATTATACGGTTCGAAATCTCATCCGTCACTCCTCCACCAGCACTCACACAACTACCCAGATACACAAACTTATCAACAACTTCAAGCGGTTCACCCGCAAGAGTGAGTAGAGGTACAGGCTCCTACCAATCTTGTAACAGTACTTTGCACTTAGACAGTGCAAAGCACATACAGTACTTAAAGACACTGCGTTTCCATGGTTGCCGGTGACCCATATGTGTTCATACGCAATTTGATCCGATTGAATTCTGGAGCCCATGTACCTCATGGTAACTGCTTTTAGTCTAACCGCTATCCAAACAACCTTCCTGACATGGTAAGACCTGCAGGGATATGAGTCCCAACCAGTTTAGCTTGTTGGGTCACTGCGGTATTCAAGCCCGACCACTACGACAAGGTAGCAGTTGTCACTTTCCTAGGCAGCTTCATTTCAAATATAGGCAGCACGGATGAAGATGTCAAAGCCAGCCAGAGTCGAAACCACAAGGCAGACTTTAATTAATCTGAAATCAGTGTGGAGATCGGCTGTACTAAGCATTAAGAACAAGATCCAGATTTTCAACACTAATGTCAAACCATTTTTTCTATATGGTTCAGAGACTTGGCGGTTGTGTCACCAAAAACATTTCAAACATGCTTCAGACTTTTACTAACAGCTGCCTTCGTTGGTTCCATGCTTAAGGTTAGAAAAACGGTCAGAGAGAATTACACCAGCAATAACCTGCAGCAATCAAGCAATCAAGAACCTATTGCCAAACAAATATCCCGAAGAAAATAGGGATGGGTTGGAAGTACGCTGAGGTTATCGTTGGATTGCATCAGACACCAGGACATCGTTCGAGTGGAACCTGAATAAGAAACGAGCTTGGAATAGGTCCGAGGGTGACACAGAAATCGTTATTCACACTTCAAACAATTCCATCAACATGCTTTATGGTCTACTTCTGTTTATGCGGCAGTATTCTTCCATTCGTTGGAGCGATATACTACTGACAGCTAAATAGCAAGAAGGATCTCGATATTTCAAAAGATACCTTTGTGAAATATTTTAAGCGTCAACTTCAGATCAAGACTAATAGATTCCAGATACAAAATAAAATAGAAATGAAAAAAATAAGTGCAACTTACTTGATGATGTAAAACCAAATATTCATCGCGACAAATAGGACATGGATTTGAGCTTATCAATTTTCCAAGATACTTTCGGATTATCAATTGGTCATTTGAAAAGAAATAAAATACATGTTAGTCAGTTAGTGGTTAGGTGAAACAGAACTATATAAATTGTCGATACAAAAGGAAATGCAACCACCACGAACAACTGAATTCCAGCTTAGACGCTACACAATGACGTAATCAGTAAAAAGGATCCGAAAGCATCCTGCTTAATTGCACAAATGGTCTTAGGTGATTAGATCTCAGACAAGACGGTATAGTGGGTTACTGTCAATTTATGTAGCAGTGGTCGATGATAATATATGTCCTTTGTGTTTTCTCTTGAAATCAATTTCATCATCCTTGGCTGGTTCTCTAACTAGTTGAAATGTGGGCATCTGTATGGAATGAATTTAATTGGTACGATGTAATTCAGAACTAAACATTTAGGGTCTTTTTTCAAGGGAAAAAAGCATTCGGGAAGTGCGATTGCTAAAAAGGATTCTAATAACACAATAGGATATAGGTTAATAATATCACAAAATGAAAAATCATCAAATGAATTTAAACTTGTTAAACATACGACGCAATTTTTCCTTGTTGAACTTGGGGGGAAATGTCCTTTGTAGTTACGTCTGTAGTAAAACCATACAGGTTTACCCCTATACGTATTCCTATATACTAAAACTAAATTAAACAAACCAATCATATACCATCAGAATTTAAATACTCTAAGCTTGTTGCCAAATCGGCTTGCCGATATGGTTTGTTTTTGTAATTTTTACGAATATTCGTCTTGTTTTGAAGATTTTCCTTTGTCTGCTGATTCGTGTTTTTGACCGTTTCAACACTTGTGCAATATCGATTCAAGGGCACTAGATATGCAGCAAACAGATACGGTTTCCTTCCAAAAGTAAAGTCATTCACAGTGACTTTTACTAATTTTGAAACTATGAGAGTCTAAAACACAAAAAACGATGCGTTTATTTTACTATATGTAATATGAAAAAGTGTACAACAACAACAAATATTCATTATTCTTAGACGCGATACCAGAAGCTCGATATAACAACATATCATCGAAAAAATTAGTCATAAAGTATTGAACCTGCACTCAAAATTTGGGGGCGTTCAATGAAATCTGAGATATGGTAAGATACGTCATTTAGAAAAGGATGAGGTTGAAGCTCATATATTACGTTTCAAAGTTGAGATCGATACTTTTGCTTATTGGTAGATATAGTAAGTTCTATTTGGTTAGGTATTACAATGCTAATTCACTCTTTTATTTTTCCCAACTTTTGACTAACAGAATGCAAATAGCTAATATTAGTGTAAAGACTGATAAGCCGTTATATTTATAACTACTTAGGTGCACACTTAGCTATCCTTGACTTTTAACAGGCAGTGCATATGTCTTAAGGCTGGGAAGATGGCACACACCATCTATAACATTATCCGATAAATATGAAATACTTTACACCAGAATGAGTGTTCATATAGCAGGATAAAGCCATTAACGTCACGAAATGCACATACCATTCGACGAGTAGTAATCTCTCCTGATTCACCTGTAACTGTAATCACAGAGTCTTTTTAAACCTGCAATACTTATTCCTAATCTTTATATTAGTTTATCGGTGGTAGAATGCTCGTGGATTCGATTCGGGTCCGACGCATTACAAATCCTGCCTGGCTTACTAAAAGATAGTAGGCTAGGGAAGGAAAGGAGGTTGGACGTGAGGTTAGCAACTACATACCGTCGAAAGTAACAACGTCACTGGCACTTTAAAGCTTAAATCCCTATATCTCACGCGGAAAGAGATGAATTAAATAACTTGATTATATGAGAATATCAAATGACTCTGTGAAGCTATTTTAGAGGTGCCACAATTTTTATCAAACACCACTAAATATGTACCCTCGAATCGCGTGTGTACACGGAAGTCGATGGCTTTTAGTATAGGACTTACACTACACGAATACAAATTTCAACCGCTTAACAATAAAGAGTTATCACATTGAAAGCAAATCAGATTGCGTAATTAACATCAGATAAGCACTCTTTTCCCTATTATTTGTAGTATTTATATTGTCTGATATAGATTTCAGTATGTATAACTTTCATTATCCATTTCAAAGGCGATTAAACAATTTTTAATTTACTTTTGTAACTAAACCTAAGCGATTCATAGTTGTGAGCACAAGTTGCTGGGCTACACTAACTTTCCACAGAAACAATGTTAAGTCAGAAGATATCAGACATCATGTGAAAGCAACAGATAGGTAAAATATGACCCATGTGGAAGTGTGTAAGATTTAGGTACGCCATTAATTTCACTTTTAACCGACTTCAAATAATTATGGAACCCGTGAGGTCCTGTATGCGTACATCTAACAGCAAGATAAAGTCTTTAGCGTGAATGGTAGCTTCCGCTTCGCTGGACTATTGTTAGTAGATAAAAAGAGGGTAGAAGAAAAGCAGGATAAACGAATATATAAAACACAAGGTAGAAGTATATCACAAGAAAAGTAGAGGGTGTGCAAGAAGAAAAAGCCAAATGAGAGGAAAGACAGACAACGAAAACGTGAGGATAAAGAGTTAGTATTGAGTGGTTAATTATAATGCTAATAATCCGTGAGAATCAGACTGCCTCACAAATGAATGTGAGAAGTCGGCGAAACCTTGTGTACTCTTTCAAACTCCCCTTGAAGCTGTCGACTGACTCGGCAGTGGTTACGTTAACCTGTAGTGAATTTCATAATTAACAAATTTCGCAGGACATCACATCATTATCGTGCGGGAATAAGTATAAGTTATTCCGTAGATCACTGATTATGATAAGGAATAATAATCCCTTTAGAATAGCTTTGTGAAATACTCCAAAGGATGACAACCTCTATACAGGGCATAGATGCACCTTGTTACAATATTCCCAACTTTCCAAATAAGCTTCACACCAGGACATCAAAACATTCACTAGGGGCAAGAAAACAGCTTAAGCGGAGACTAAAACTGTATTCAGCGAGGATGTCTCGTAATATAGATTTTATCAGGAGTATCATCAACATTGAAGACATACAGTAGTGCCATTATAAGAGTATTTAGGGTTTTGACAATGTCCCCGTTAGTGATAATAGGTGAAGTGGTACGCAGCTGTCGTCCATCTGATGTACGCCGAAACATTATTTAGTACAGTGTACAGAGATCCAGGTCAATTTTTGAGAATAATTGTTTTTACAGTGCCACATCCGGATGCTATATCACTGACCAGCGAAATTTTCCGGCGAAGTTCAACAATAGAGTCCCAGGAGTGCGAACACTCAAGTGATCTTGAACGCATGCTAGTCGTTGGCTAACGGCTCCTGTTATTATCAATGCTGTTTACCAACCAATGAGTGAATTTCACCCAGATCAGACTTTTAAGTGCAGGATCGAAATATGTAAAAGCTCTTAACTTATATCAATCGTATAGAGGTAACCCTTCAGCGAAGATAAAGTATCATACACAAAGCCAAAGTTCTTCAATAGTTGACCTTCAAGAAACTAGCATATACAGGGACTGCTATGAAAGTTTATTCTAAATCAAATATTGCCTGCCTTTTAGGACTTAGGGAAGGTATATAAAGTATTCCGCTCATTCCTTGGTCACTTTTTCTGTAAATCTATGCTGTTTGTTAGGGTTATGGCTTTGTAAATTAGAGTTTATGGTCTAGGATTAAAGTTAGGATTGTGAGTTAAGATTACGGTAAGATTTAAGAGTGATTTTAATTAAACTGCTATAAATATAAATAAATCTCTAAGTACTATGACCTATAGTCATCTGCATGAATGCATATGCATTCTCGCACATGGTATGATTACTTTATACATTATGTGTAGTAACTGAGAGACATTCTTACATCGCATGAGGGGCAACTTTATGGTTAAATATCATGTTTGCAATGTTTTAGTGCATTTTTCAATGATTATGCGACTTTTGGCACATGAATCCTAATTAGTTGTTCAAAGTCACTGTAGTAATAGCTATGATATTTAAACTTTCATTTGAATCATTGATTGTAAGAAAAATGTCAAAAATATACATATAAAATGCAACAAACGTTCAAGAAAAATTGTTAGCATACCTTCAGCAAGGAACTCATTCTCTCCACAGTAACGCTACGTGCAAAACCCGAGCCTATCGATGTCCAATTCATTCGCAAAACCGTTTCCAATATCCAATATCCTGATTACGAGCTAGTATAAACCAGTGATTTCTTTGAGCTCGCTTCTTGATTGTAAGGTAGAGGTTCCAGATCTTCGGTGAACTTATGCGTAGTAAATCTCTCCACTCGACTGCTTTAGCTCTGGTAGACTCCAAGAAGAGTGGTGCGAGGATTGGTCAAGATTGTGGTTTGTAGTGTTCAGTATGTTAGGACTCAGCTGCTGCCGTGAATGGAGTTTGACCTAACACCCGTTGGTCATTCGGTATAGTCATAAAATTAGAATAGTAATAATAATAATAGGTTGTAGTGTAGACAACATAGGTTGAGATAAGTGAAATAATAAAGGTGAAATTATAAAGAAAGAAAGAAAAGATAGAGTAGTCGGTACAGTGGGAGAAGACAGGATGGGTCGTGGGGATTTAGCTTGTATGCTTATCCATTGACAATGTGGTTTCAGATTTTAAGAGGGTAAGCCATTGAGACACAAACCATGCATTTTTGCATGATTGTCCAGCTTCCGCTTAAAAGTCTCCACAGATGGAGCTGTAGTTACGGCCGCCGGTAAAGCGTTCCAGAGACGGCAAACTCGAAGCGAGAAGAAATGTGAACGCACTCGAGTCCTTGGTCTCTGGTGTGCTATCCTTAGCGGGTTACCTCGTGGAAGCCTATAATCACTTAATGGCAGGATGCTCTTATTAGGGTGGGCCTGGTCATTTAAGATCTTATAGACGGTGATGAGGTCTCCCCTGTGACAACGGTAACTAAGTGTGAAAAGACTTAATTTCTTCAGTCTTTCCTCATATGATTTGTTGCGGAGGCCGATCACCCATTCTGTCGCTCGCTTTGGTGACGTCCCTCGTGTAATTTACACTGGTGTCTAGCTTTTCTGTTAAAATAAGGCCTAGATCGCGTTCTGATGGCACACAACTCAAGTTCTGGCCACCACTCTGTGACCTGCCGGAATGAAGTTGCACTACTTCGCACTTCTTTAAGTTGAAAGGCATTCCGTTAGCCAGAGCCCAGTCTCCTAGAGTTTGCAGGTCAGCCTGCAATCTGTCGGAGTCTTCCGATGAGTTTATTGCTCTCCAAATCTTTACGTCGTCAGCGTAAAGAAGTGCAGAGCAATTCAGTTGACAGGGCAGGTCGTTGATAAAAATCAAAAACATCAACGGCCCTAAGATAGAACCCTGAGGAACCCCTGATGCCGAGGTGTGCCAGGATGATCGGATGCGGTTGACTTTGGTGCAACGTATGTATTTCTTTGCTCGCTATTCTTGATGCTATGGATTTTCTTCAAGTCCTTCGCTAATTTAAAAGTAATAGAAATGATCATCTTCGTTTACGTATACACAGTGGGTGATTGGATGTAAGTTAGTCTAACGGAGAATTTTTGTTAAGACCCATAACAGTGGAGCCGATTAGTAGAATACTTCCCATTCCACCAAGCAGTTTTTGAAATAGCCTCAAAGGAGTTTGATTTAACTGGAAATGGAAAGGAAATCGAAAAGAGGAATAAAATATAGAATGTGGAAACAGAAACGAAGAAAAGCGAACAACTACTGATAGGGGTTCCAGGCAAGACAAATCAACAGAGAAATGTGAGAATCAGGCTCCATAGGTAGATGATCATTATTCATAAACAATAGTAGCAGTCAAGAGGCAGGACGAAATCTTAGATCCTTCCCATAGTGCTACAGAGAAGTGAAGGCGTCGTCACACGTCGTCTGACCTAAGTTTAAATCTGTCTGGAGATGTGTTCCACAACGGAAAAATCAAAATGAAGACAGATGCATGTTCCCAAATCACCGTTTCTTGACTGTCCCCATGAATCTCCTCCAGAACTGCCAGTTCCCCCCTCCATAGTACTCATTTCATATCCCCGATTACGTGTTATTTTACAAGTTGGCTTAACATCATACATAATCATGTTGCAGCTGCGAATATAAAATTTAAATGTTGCCATTAAATCGTTTTGAACAAAACTCTGACCACTTCAAAGGACTCTTGAGTTGACCGTCACCTGTGGCTCGTCCAGAAATACTACCACTAACGCACGGAAGTGTCAGTGGACACCAATCCTCTAACAAAATCAGAAGCTTTGAATGCGCTCAGGCTACCGAAAGCCAGTCAGAAAGACAGGCAGACGTGATTGGATTCCCCCTAAGTCACTGAAGATGGATCCAGACATTGCGGCGAATATGTTGACACCACCATTGCAGAAAGTTTAGGAGGAAAATTACCTGCTGGTTGGAAGAAGTGCCGCCTTGTGAAACTACAAAAGAAGGGCTATTTACAGGCCTCGGTGACAAATGGCGGAGAAATATGTTTTTGTCTACGTCGCATTATTCTGTAGAGACTAGAGGATGCAGTGGATGCAGAACTCTGCTCAGAAAAACCTAAATGCAGGAGAGGTAACCTAAGTACTGATCAATTAGAGAATCTATACATTATCACTGAACATAGCATAAAGCTGCAGAGAAAATTCTACAGTGTACGTTCCAGTGCGCAATGACCCAAACGTCATTCTTCGATTTTCCGTTATGCTGTCTATATGCACATTCCCTGAGTTCCTAGTGAAGCATAGATATTAGATAAGCTCAAAGGCTTCGCCCTTAAATAATCTTTACCTTTTATTCTACCAGAATGCATGGCACACTGGAGCACTCCTCCCCTGACAGCCAATTCTTTCTAATTTGCGTTTCGTCGTCAGTACTTACAGGTTAGGTAGAATTCTGAATTAGAGAGACTGGCAAAGTGTAGCTGATCAACAGCACTACAATTACCTTGAACATCTCTCCGAACTCGGTCTACTTTAGTATGTCCTTCTGCAGCGCTGGTATGGAAGGAACATGGATCCATTGCAACAGATTGGACTTATCCGGCATGTTGTTTGAAATTTCGCCCGGTAAATGTTTTGTCAATAATTTTTAATGAAATTGTGTCATATGTTATCTGGATTGATGGGAATTCTCATTCGCTGACTAGTTGTGTTGGGGCCGACGTCATGTGATCTGACTCCGACACTCTCTTAGCATACTAGTTGGACTGTGTCGAAATATCGCTATATTGAGGAAGATGGGGTAGTTGGAGGGTAATGTCATCTACGCAAATAGTTTACTTCATGTGGAAGCTGCAGCTTTCGGTCTAGTATCATTCAGTGAAGACTTCACGTTTCAGGTACGTTCGTAGGAATTTCACTTAGTATTAAATAGAATGAGTGTATTCATATTGGGTACTAATATGTAGAATTACCTTTTATAACTTCATTTTGTACTAGTCCCTACATGTGCTTTATTTTTTCAGACTTATGGAGGTTGTCGAATATGAAATCTACAGAAATGTCAATCGATCAAACCAACGCTAATACCTTTCATCACAATTTTCTTTTGTAAATTAAGAAAATGTTTAATATACTTTTCATTTCTACTTCATTTGGACTTATTTACTGCGTTGCTATACTATATGCTTTTGTAATCTGTGAATTCGGATTAATGCATTTTAAGCCTAGTGAAATGGAGATTTACTATGGTATTATGAGACCGTTGACCTAGTCATTCATAGGATTTCGCGTCTGTTTCTATACAATAGCATATTGTGAAAAATAAGTAAGATTTAGCAAGTCGAATAATTATTCTGTACTGTTGGATACGCTAAGGTCGTCTTATCTGGCCAGCTGCAAGTCTGTATACTGCTAAACGCAAAGTCTGCAGTACAAGTAAATTTAGTAACCTAGGGTTGATGGCTACTTCATTAGTCTGTTAATATTCAGTGACATCATCAGATTGGCTGTTTACCTGGCGATGAGCTAAGAAACAATTTTCATTCATTTCTGGTATGCTGCTGAATCATGTGATGTCGTCTAATATCCGTCACCTTTATGATCAACAATTGCAGTATTTGCATATCTACTGTGTTAAGTATGCGGATGACCTAACTGTTCCAATGTCTGTTAAATCCCAGCTCGACTGTACTAAGATGAACAGCTTCCTATCAGGAATTATATAAATATATTTATTCTCATCTATGTAGGACACACCAGTTGTACAGGCATGGATAATTATTATTTACATTACATGAATTCGATTTATGGTGAAATTACATGGTCTCCATTCTGACATTAGTTTGTGAGTACAGTCTGCTAAGTAGTCATTCAATGGAGCACATTCAGAAATAAAGAAATATTGTCTTTGAACTAACAAAACAAACCCAAGTGTGTGTCAGATGGATTACAAATATTTGGGAAAAAAATAAAGCTTGAAGTCAATTCCTCCATATAACTTTGATGTGTGCAGCATCCTAAGAGCATCGTCGATTTACGCGTCTGCGTTGCCACTTGCTCAGAAAATGTCAGGTGACTAGAGTACCTGAGTCCTAGGTCAACAACACTTTGGAGTTTAGGCAAGTAAATATATTCGAGCACCAGTTTGATATTCATTGAGGGTGCACCGAAACAGATCCAACCACATTTTTTAAGGCTGAATTTTAGGTTCCATGTGGAGGACCGTGCAGTTACTCTATCTTCCTGGACAGCATTCTGAAACTATCCTAAGTCATCACAGTGGAACGTGTAAGCTACCTTAAGAGCATCTGCAAAGATGAATGGTTCACCAAGTGAGAAACAGCTGCATATGTCGTTGACATATAGAGTGAATAGGAGGGGGCCTGAGACGCTACCTTGAACTACTCCAGAAGTGACTGGACTAGGTTTAAAGTTTACAGACCCCAGTCTAACCACTTGGGACCTATTGTTAAGGAATGATTCAAGCCATCCTAATAATGGGTTACGTATTCCTTAGGAGTTCAGCTTATTGATTAGAAGCAAATGGTCAACGCGGTCGAGGACTTTGAAGGTGTCGAGGTAAATGACTGGTACTAGTTGTCGTTTGTCTCGGCTGCTAGTTATATAGTTAAAGAAGTCAAGGTGACAGGTCATACATGATCTGGATATTAGGAATCCATGTTGGTTGGGACTTAGAAT